GATTTTTCTTTTATGCCAAAAATCATTAGGATATTAAGTAAAGATCATGTTCCATGAAGATATTTTGCAAATTTCCTACCGTAAATATTTAAAAACTTCATTTTTGATTAGTAATATGCATTGCTAAGAACTTTTTTTGCACCCTCAGATTCCAGATTTTCAGATTTAAAAAAAAGTTACCCTTATTTTGTTATTGTTTTGTTGTCCAGGGTCACAAATGTGCAATCACTAGCACCACCTAGTGTTAGTTACGATTCAAGACAAGAACTCAGTTCCTTCCTTTAACCCCTTAACTGTCACTCACATTCTTGAACATAGACGTGAAAGTGCACGATCCAAACTTACATTTTTATTATTCATGAACGAAAACATTTTGTAACATGATATTGATGTACCATTTTCATGGTAATGTAATGTTTGATTTTAAAATGGGTTTCAAAGGAGGAATTTTGAGATTTAAAGTTTTCAACTGATATATAATTTCTGATGAGTTCTAAAGTGTGATCGAGAAAAAGGCAACAAAGAAGACTTTTTGACAAAGGTCAGAACTCCTGTTATGATGTAGATTTTTCAGGTGCACTCTTGTCAAATATTAATCTATTACTTTTCCTACATAATTTTGAACAAAAACATTGGTAAAATATCTATTTAGGAGTCTTAGACCTTTCCACCGATATATAGTTTGTCATGATTAGATTAGGATTTAATTGTAATATAGTGAAGTAAACTTAGGCGTCCCACAGAGGGGACGGGTGACAGTTTTAAAGAGAAAAATAAGCAGTAAACAGTCTTAAATGGTTGAATACTAAATAAAAGTGTATGAAACCATTTAAAATGAATGCAAATATGCACACAAATACAAGAAATAAAATGTTTAAATAATAATACAATCATTTTCATTAATTTTATTCATTTTATTTTAGGTAAACATTGTTAAAAATCATATTAACAGACAAACTGCCATTCATTTCGTGTAGGACAAACAGATGAACTTTTTCGTGGGTTACTGTTTTACTCCGTCTGAGTCCTTAAAGCTTGTGCTGCATTTTTACATTTTAAAACAAACAATATACATAATAGCATCCAGACATTTAAAAAAAAAAAAGTAAAACGAGCATGAAAAAATAACTGAAAAATGAATGTCTTATAAGTCTAATTCATGAGTGAATCTGTACTCGACCATTCTTCATTGTTGTCCAGTATTGCTTTACTAAACACAAAATGGATTCACTTTGTTTATTTCAAAAACACTACAGCGAATAAATTAAAGGATTTTAGTTTTTGTTTGTTTTGTTTTGGAAATCACTAACTGATCGTTGCAGTTGTGATTTTAATACAAAACAATTGTACAGTACTGATGTTGGTGATATGTGATTGCTTTTGCATTGTCGTACTTCATGAAAAAAAAATGTTTGCAAATAAAAAGTACCATTTATATGTAATTTGCAATTTCCCCAAAAAAAAAATTTTTTTTTTTTTTTTTTTTTTTT